TGCCTGTGGAGGCCACAAGAGGGCACTGGAGCGTTCTGCCTGCATGTGTACTGTGTACTGCATGCATGCCTGTGGAGGCCACAAGAGGGCACTGGATCCTCTGAGACCGGACTTTCAGATGGTCGTGAACTGCTGTGTGGGTGCTAAAGAAAATTCAGTGTTCTTTCCAGCTGAGCCATCTCTCCAGCCCCCAGGGGGCAGCTTTCATGAGCTGGTTTTCTGCTTCCACCATGGTTTCAAGGGAATTAACTCAGGTCATCAGGCTTGCTACCCAGCTCTCGCCCCAGTGAGCCATCTCACTGCCCTGAGGGCTGAGTTTCTGAGACCAGAATATAAAATCCCCCCTCTCCTCACACCAGCATCACTTTTCCCAGGGGTAGTCTGACCTCAGATGCCTTCTCACCTAACGCTGCTTCTCTTCAGAGTCCTGCTTCTTTATCCTGTAAATACCTCTAAGCCTTACCCCTGGGGAGGTCAACTGAAGACTTGGATCTCCCATCTCATAGCCAACTGTCTCTTGTCTTTGCAAACTTGTTTCTAATGGGCAAACAGAACGTGGTTGAGTAATATCAAATTGGATTTTAAAAAAAAATCTAGAATGTTAGCCCCTAGGGAGGTCACAGATGTTTAGAGTTTATTTGCTACAGTGTTTTTTTTTAAACTGAAGTGCTAACAACACACACACACAAACACATTTTTACACACTCAACACAGGCCTATAACCACTCTCACAGTGAGCCTTTTCATCTCGCCTGTGTAGCACAGGTGTGCTTCAATATTCTTCAAACAGTTGCAGAAAAGGCCCTTCAGCATGTCCAGAGAGGGAAAGGAAGAGCTAGGCCTCTGGGGGACAGGGCTGTGGATATAAGACTGCTTCCTGTACTGTTGGAAGATTCAAAAGCAAAGGGCTACAGGGGAAACAAGGAAAGACCAGATATACGCACACCATAGATCATCCGGTCCATGATCGTGAGCCTTCGCACAATCTGGGGGTGGGGGATGCTGTCTGCCGGGCCCCACCCCTCACATGGGAAGGAACTAGGGCAAGCTGCTCAAGGGTAACCACAGGTGGTGGGAAGGTTTGGGGCAGGTGACCCCCATCTCCATAGCCCCTTTCCCAGCTGGGACTTCTGATTCCCCTAAGCTAACAACAATAAAAAGATTTATTGTAGATATGTCTGTATCGGTACCTGGGTATGTGCAGGAGTGCAGGTGTCTGAGGATGTCAGAGTGGGCACTGAGTTACAGGCAACAGTGAGCCACCATACACAGACACTGGAAACCACGCTGTCTTCTGTAAGAGCAGTACACATTCTGTGCTGGTTAGTTTCGTCATCTTGACTAGTCACCTAGAAAGAGAGAACCTCAAGGAACTGCTTAATGGCTTAATCAATTGGCCTGCGGATATGTCTATGACACAATTTCTTAATTACTGATACAGGAGGACCCAGCCCACCGTGGGTGGTGCCATCCCTAGGCAGGTAGGCCTGGTCTGAACAGCTGATTGTGAGCTAGGAAGCAAGCCGTCGATGGTCTCTGTTTCAATTCCTGCCTCCAGGCTCCCACCTTGAACTCCTGCCCTGACATCGCCCCTCATTGATGAACTTTAACTTAAAAGTAGACGTCAAACAAACCCTTTCTTCCTCCAAGTTGCTTGTGGTTGTTTTATCACAGCAACAGAAAACAAACCAGGAGCTAGAGTGATGCCTTGGAACTTAAGAGCACTTGCTGTTCTTGAAGAGAGCCCAGGTTCAGTTTCCAGCTCCCACATGGTGGCTCACATAACTCCACTAACTCAAGTTCCAGAGGATCCGATACCAGCTTCTAACCTCTGAGTGCAGCTCGAGCACATGGTCCTCATTTATACTGCAAGTAAAACACTCAAATAATCTAAAACACACTTTTATCTCTGAGCCATCACTCCAGCCCCGACTTCTTTAATCCTGTTTCCAGGGTGTCTGGGACTTCCACAGGGGCCACTGTACCAAAGGAATCTAAACTCTGTCCAATGTAGGCATCAAGAACTGGCAGTGGTCACGCCCAAGACTTCCCATCTCTGGCTTACCTGCGAGCAAGGGTGGACAACTTTCAGGCAAAGAGAACACTGTTTTCTCTTTTTTCAAGACTTTGTGTTTATTTTTAGGAGTGTGTGTTAGTGGTTTCAGAGGCAGAGCCTCTGAACCTCGAGTTACAGGGAGTTATCAGAAGGGTCAGGAATGTCAGCTGGGAGAGCAGGTGTGGTGGTTTGATAAGAATAGCCCTCATAGGCTCCCATCTCCATGCCTGGTCTACAGCTTTGCTTTGAGTGAAGTTTCCTTGCAACTTTGCGAATCTGTATATGGGCTTTGATTCCTTGAATAGAATTCGAGAACCAGGAAACCTTGCACACGTGACACCAAAACAATGATGGTAGGGGCTGGAGAGATGGCTCAGCAGTTAAGAGCATTGATCCAGAGGTCCTGAGTTCAATTCCCAGCATGGTGGCTCACAGCCATCTGTAATGGGATCTCTGTAATGATGCCCTCTTCTGGTGTGTCTGAAGAAAGCAATAGTGTACTCACATAAATAAGATAAATAAACCTAAAAAAAAAAATGAAGGTAACTTTATAAAGCCAGATTTCTTTTCTGTTTAAAATATTTTTTTATTAATGTGTGAATAAATATACACGCCACAGGTGTGCAGGTCCCCAGAATCCATAATCCAGAGTCAGATCCTCAGAAACTGGAGTTACAGGCAGTTGTGAGCCACCAACCCGGGGACTAGGAACTGAACTGGTCCTTTTTAAGAGCTGCTGGTCCAAGAAACTGCTAAGCCATCTGCCCAGCCACAAGCTCAGACCTGTTATAAGTATTTGCTATTTCCAGCTTCCAGATATTGATTTTTATCTGTGGCACTAGTTCTACTCCAACTAACCCTTCTCTGAGGAGTCGTTCCTAACATCACACTTCACCATTGACCTTGAAGCTCAAACAAAATTCCAAATTATTGTTTTTGACAGTCTCACTGTGCTGGCCTGGAACTGAAGAGGTCCACCTTTGCCTCTTAACTGCCTGGCTTCCAAATGACTTTTAAATGAATGGGCTAAAAAAAGAAAAGAAAAAAGAAAAAAAACCAAACCAAAAAAACCAAAATAGTCCTTAGTGACTGTGTGGTTAGTTGGCAGAGTGCTGGTTTGGCCTTCGTGAAGCCCCTGGGTTCCTCTAGCATCACATAAATGGATGTGGTAGTGCTTGCCTACAACCTCAGCATTCAGGAGGAAGAGGGAGGAAGGTAAGATGGTCAAGGTCTGCCTCTCGAAGTCTGAGGTTAGCCAGAACTAAAAGAGAAGGAAGGAAACAGGTGGGTGGAGAAGTGGCTCAGGGGTTAAGGACATGAACTTGCTGTCTTTGCAGAGGATATGGGTATATCTCTGGCAGTGTACAATTGCCTGTACCTCCAACTCCAGGGATCCAACACTCTTGTGACCTCTTTGGGCACCCATACTCACATGCACATACCCACACACAGACAAGTAATTAAGAATAAATCTTAGTTGCTGGGCAGTGGTGGCGCACGCCTTTAATCTCAGCACTTGGGGGGCAGAGGCAGGTGGATTTCTGAGTTCTAGGCCAGTCTGGTCTACAGAGTGAGTTCCAGGACAGCCAGGACTACACAGAGAAACCCTGTCTCAAAAAACAAACAAACAAACAAACAAAAAACAAAACAAAAAATTAAAAATAATAATAATAATAAATCTTAGAAGAAACAGTCCTCAGATGAAGACTGCTCGTGTTCCTCTCCCTCAAGACCTTTTATTGAAAGCATTTTTTTGGCTACAGCACCAACAGGAAAATCTGCAACACTTGAGGACAGAACCCAACAACCAGGAACCTCCTGCCCCAAGCACGACTCCACACGCAGCCCCAGCATGGGGGCCTGGGCTACCCTAATTATGTCTGAAGAGCTTCAGGCCCATCCACGTCCACAGGTGGAAGAACACGTACACTGGTACAGTGACTGGCAACAGCAAGCTGTAGAAGCACAAGCTGCTGGCGCTGGTGCAGCCCTCTGGGAAGCCTTCCTCCACAGAGGCGGAGTAGAACAGGCCTGCCAGCGAGACCAGAGGGATGAGGACAGTCATGGTGGGCAGAGAAGGGATCATCCTTCTCCCTTAAAAGGTATACAGTAAGTATCAAGAAAACTCAGTCGTTTTAAAAGTTATGTTCTTGTGCTGGTCTGATCCTATATTCCCTTTGTCCCGACTTCTCATTCATCCAGGCATGCTTCCCAAGGGCTCACAAAAACTCCAGCGGTCCCAGGCTGCACAGCCTCGTTCTGATCCAATCCACCGTCACACACACCAGTTAGCAGCGACTGCAGACAAGTCACGTGTCCCTCGCAGCGCCGGCTAAAGGATTCTTAACTGTATGAGAAAAGTGCAAGACAACAAGATGAGGGGAAGGAGAGGGAAAGGGAGAGGAAAGGAAGGGGAAGCTGCCTGTACCATTATTGAGTAGTCTAGAGACAGGATTGCTGGAACCTGCAGGCTGGCCTCGAACGTTACGACCCTCCTGCATCAGCCTTCCCAAGCCACCATGCCCGACTAGAAAACCAATTTTTTGTTTGTTTGTTTGTTTGTTTTTTCGAGACAGGGTTTCTCTGTGTAGCCCTGGCTGTCCTGGAACTCACTCTGTAGACCAGGCTGGCCTCGAACTCAGAAATCCGCCTGCCTCTGCCTCCCAAGTGCTGGGATTAAAGGCGTGCGCCACCACCGCCCGGCTAGAAAACCAATCTTTTAAAAAGGAGTGTCCTCCAAAACTGCCTGTGATGACCCCTATCAGGGGTATCAGTATTGAGGAGGCAGTAGTGGCAGAAGAACAGCAGCCAGACCATGCTTCGAAACACAAGTATCACCCATTACTTTGGGAAGTAAGCAATTTGAAAAGCAGAATGAAGGACAGGTGGACTGATAAAAGTTTTTGTGAACTGAGGAAGCAGAATGAGACCTATAAATCTAGATTCACTTTAGATATCTGAGTGGAGGCTTCCCATACAACGAGGACCGGCTGGGAACCAGCACCAGAACCCGGAGCCTCGTCACGAGCCGCCCGCCGTCAATGCACAGACCGAAGACAGCTCCAGCCCTGGGCCCAGCCGCCTCGGAGACCCGAAAAGCACTGGGGCAGGCTCTGGCGGACAGAGGGGAGCGATGGCCGGGCCGGACAGAGCCGAGCGGGGCCGGGCCGAGCCGAGCGGGGCCGGGCCGAGCCGAGCCGAGCCGAGCCGAGCCGAGCCGGAGAAAACCGAGCCAAGCCGAGCCAAGCCGAGCAGGGCAGAGGGGAGCCCGGCCCAGCCGAAAGCGAACTCTAGTCAAGGGGAACCGGCGGCGTCCGTGGCGCAGACGCCTAGCTGGCGCGAATCCTGTCCCAGCCGGTCCCAAACAGTTCCTCCGCCTGTATCTCGGGACCTCGAGACCCTGAACTCACCATTCGCAGGCCTGTCGATGTCCGGGTCCCGGCGGCACCAGACCGTGACGGTCACAGCTCCACGAAGGCGGGGCACTCCGGCCAGCTGTCCAATCAAATCCCTGAGGGGGCGGGGCGAGAAACCCAGATCCCGCGATGGAGCCAATCCGCGCGTGCTCACTGGACAGCGCATCACGCCTTCGCTCCGGCGCTCAGGCTCCGCCCCCTAGTCTTGAGTGACTGGTGAAGCCAGAAAGGCTCCGAGGACCCTGATAGATAAGGATCTGTCCTGCTCCCGTCCTCACCGCCTCTGGCTGGGCGTCCTGTATGCCAGTCCTGCTGAACGAACAAGAGAAACGTATTTGCCGCAGTTTATTCACGGCGTTCCAGAGCAGACAGTGGCGTCTTTTCGCACCTCTAATTAATAAACTTGAAGCCTGAATCGCACCTGGCCGCAGCCACCATCACCAAGACTCTGAAGCAGCAGGAAAGGAGTCATCCGTTGTTTTACGTATGAATCGGTGAATGTCAAAATAATAGTTTGGGCCTATGAGATGGCTCAGCGAGTATAGGCATTTCCTGCCAAGCCTGGCGACCTGAGTTCGATCGGGGGTGGGGGGCGGCGGGGAACCTATTTTCTTCTCACATTGTCCTCTGACCTCCACGCATGTACCTGCGTGTACTCCCGCAAAAAGTCCAAAAAGCATGGTGACATACACTCCTAATCCTAGCACTCAGTAGGCAAAAACTGGAGGATTTCTGTGAGCTCGTGCCCAGCCTGGTCTACATAGCAAGATCCGGTCATTGGGACTACATAGTAAGATGATGAGGGGGAGAGGGTCGGAGCAGGGAGGTCGTAAATGTTGTCCACGGGGCCGGCCACTGCTTTGCCTAGTGAGACAGTGTTATCTCGATCCCAGCGTAAAGAGGAATGAGGCTGAGATAGGATTCTATGCAGTACTACACAAGGGCTTCCATCCCTTAATCTTCCAGCAAACTAATAAATCAAAGTTTTCTTTGCAGAGGTATACAGTCCATGAAGTTTTTATTGCAACCACAAGGTGGCAGGAGAGAACTTAGGATAAAGCCATCCTATGGTTTACACAGAGCAGAGAATAAACATTTTTTAATTAAAAAATTTAAAATCGGAACAAAAATAGCCAGCAAGATGGTTCAAGAGGTAAAGACACTCACTACACAAGCCTGTGAAGGGGCCAGTATTGGCACAAGACACCCAAGACCAAGTTCTCAGCACAGAGATTTGCCCCAAAGGACAAAGGGCAGGGAATAAGAGGATGGGGGCGGGGAACCCGGGTGCACAGCAGACAGGGTGATGACAACACAGCAAAGGCCTGGATAGAGAGGAGACAGACGTGGTACATAGGGAAATGGCGGTTTATAAAGGTAAAGGGGAAAACCCGTGTTAGGAAAAGGAATTTAACTTTAATTGGGCGCATTACTAGGACAGCCAAAGGGAGCTTTAGATTGCTGGAGTTCAATACTCTGACAGCGGGACCTTGGTGGTCAGCCTCAAGAAGAGGAAGTGGCCAAATAAGGGAACAGACCTTGGTGGCTAGCTTGAGGAATGTAATGTAGAAGTTTTTAGAAAGGCAGGAAGGTTGGGAAGAAAGGACCAGGCCTGCCAGAGCCTTGCTTGCCGTGCCTTGAGTGACTAGAGTCCCTGTAGCCTGACTCCTCCAAGCTGGCCTCTGACCTCTGCATGGAGAGAAACATACACACATTAAATAAATACACCTCAGTATTTGACAGATGTCGCTACGCTAAGAATGAAAGACCTTGGCACTTGTGTGACAGGCTTTTCCTGTGCAGACAACACACACACACACATACAAACACACACAACACACACACACATTTACTCACTCCAGAAAGCGGCCCCACTACAAACCAAAGTGCGGACAGCAGCAGTGTGGTGGACAATGAGTTTGGCTGGGGTTGCTCACAGGTGTAGAAATGACTCGGAACAATTGTGACAGGATGAAGCAGCGAGGGCCAAGTGCCATGCCACTAAGAAATGACGCCACACAACAGATCTGGTGTAAGAGGTTTACTGGGGGAGGAGAATGTGGACATCAGGGAGACAGAGGGGAGTGAAGGAGAGGGAGAGAGATCTTGGTGGCTAGGGGTTTTTATACGCCTTACCTGCGGGTAACATAAGCTGCCTCTAGGGTCCTGAGGGCAGGCTGGTGGAAATGCCTGATTGCTAACAAACTTCATCACCAAAGCCCATCCCAGCACGGGTGTCTGTAATGGTTTGTATATACTTGGGCCAGGGAGTGGTTTCCTGGCCTGCGCTGATCCACGCTGCCCCACATTTGGGGACCAAGTTCTCCAGTCCACGGGTCAGTCAACAGGGTCTAGCAAGAGGGGGGGAGGGGATGGAGGCAAAACAGAGAGTCTGTTCAAGTCCCTTTTATTGAAAGGAAATCCTGGGTATTTATAGGCACACGCAGGGGAACACAGCTGAAGACACGTTGCCACGGGCTTTGCAGCTGTGGACATTAAACAACAAAACAGGATATGTGAGAAAAACAAGATGTTTATCAGAGTGTGCTCAGCTGTCGTGGGCTGTTGAAAACAAGTCTCTTGTCAGGGTATATGGCCTGAGATGGCTGCAAAGATGATAGCCGCTTTCGGCTAGGAGTTGGCTCCCTTCAACAGAGTGGCACTATTCAGAGGTATGGCCTTGTTAGAGTAAGTGTGTCACTGTGGGTGTGGGCTTTAAGATCCTCATCCTAGCTGCCTTGAAGCCAATCTTCCAGTGGCCTACAGATCAGATGAAGAAGTAGAACTCTCAGCTCTTCCAGCCCCATGCCTGCCTGGGCACTGCCATGCTCCCGCCTTGATGATAATGGACTGAACCTCTGAACCTGTAAGCCAGCCCCAATTAAATGTCATCCTTAGCCGGGCAGTGGTGGCGTATGCCTTTAATCCCAGCACTTGGGAGGCAGAGGCAGGTGGATTTCTAAGTTCAAGGCCAGCCTGGTCTACAGAGTGAGTTCCAGGACAGCTAGGACTACACAGAGAAACCCTGTCTCGAAAAAAAAAAAAATCAGCAACAACAAAAAAAGAGTTAAAAGAGTAAAGCTTCGTTTCTCGTAGCATCCAGCCCAAGAGTCCTCAAAGGTGAGGTACACCTTGTTAAGATATTCCACCTCAGCCGGACGGTGGTGGCACACGCCTTTAATCCCAGCACTTGGGAGGCAGAGGCAGGCGGATTTCTGAGTTCGAGAGTTCGAGGCTAGCCTGGTCTACAGAGTGAGTTCCAGGACAGCCAGGGCTACACAGAGAAACCCTGTCTCGAAAAACCAAAATAAATAAATAAATAAATAAATAAATAAAATAAATGTCATCCTTTTAAGAGTGGCCTTGGTCATGGTGTCTGCTCACAGCAGTAAAACTCTAACTAAAACAGTGTCACAAAAGCGTGGAAGCTTAAGTACATGGCATAGCCTGCAGGCAGCTCAACAAGCTGGAGACCGTGATTTTTGGAAAGGGTATAAATACAACTCCACAGACAGTGGAGGACACTGCGTGGTATTGGTTTGCCTTACCAGTCTTTGCTGCTCTTCATTGCGCTTTGCTGATGCTGGTCTCCACTGACATGCTGTATGGTATTGGTTCGCCGTACCTTCTTTGCTGACCAATGTTTATCATGACTTCATAGACAGAAACACATCAAAGAACTTCTGATGGTGCTCTGGCAGTTTCTTGCAGTTTCTGCAGACTCCAGCAGATTGGCAGAGCCTTGAGGTTTCTTCTGAATCGATCTGCCATTGCCGTTGCTGATTCATGAATGGTGTTTGTGAGTGGATTCTGCTGCTGATCTCTGTGAACCGAACTGCTGATATCCTGATAACAGATAAAAGTAGAAATAGAATCACTAAAGAAAACACAAGCTGAAATAAAACTAAAAAAAGTAAAAGTGTAGGATGTCAAACAGAAACCTCAGAAGTATGACTCACAAACAGGGAACAACACAATCTCAAGCATTGAAAACGGTAAAAGAAATGATAAATCTGAAGTGGAAATTTCTGGTTTCTTTGGAAAGTCAGTTATGTCAAATGATGTTTTGCTGAAGCACACAGGTGAAAGAACATGTGATGTTTAGAAAGGATATAAGTGTGACCCCACAGACGGTGGGAGCTCGAATGTTGGTTTGCTTTGCTCCACCTTGCTATCCCACTGTCCTTCACTGACCACATGCACATCTTGGTTCACCTTACACTGTGTTGTTTAGCTTCACTTGTGGTGATGTCATAGAGAGAAACTGGCCAAAGAACATATCAATGACACAAAGCATTCTTGTTTCAGAAAATCAGTAAGACTGACAAACCCTTAGCCAAATTAACTAAAAGACGAAGAGAGAAGACACACATTAATAAGATTAGAGATGGAAAGAGTTACAAAAAACAGCCCCCAAAAATCCAGAGAATCTTAAGAATATTTTTTTTTAAATCTATGTCCTACCAAACTGGAAATTCCTAAAAGAAATTGATTAATTTCTCTGTGAGGTGTGTGTGTCCCACCAAAGTTAAATAAAGATCAGATAAGCAATTTAAACAGACCTATAACCCCTAGTGAAATAAAATTAGTAAACAAAAGCCAGGCCCAGATGAATTCAGTGCAGAATTCTGCCAGACCTACAAAGAATGCCAATACTGCTCAAATTATTCCACAAAAAAATAGAAACTGAAGGAACGTTTGTTTTCTAATTGTTTTCATGAGGACACTATTACACTGATGCCAAAACCACACAGACACAGAAATAACAAAAAAGTTACAGACCAATATCCCTTATGAACATAAATACAATAATTCTCAATAAAATATTTGCTAACCAAGTCCAAGAACACATAGGAAAATTATCCACCATAATCAAATAGGCTAATCCCAGTGATGCAGGGATGATTCAACACACAGAAATCAATAAATTTATTCCACCATATAAACAGACTGAAACCCAAAGACTACATGCTCGTCTCATTAGATGCAGAAAATACCTTTGACATAACAAAGTCCTAGAGAGACTAAAGATACAAGGCATATACCTGAACATAAGTAAGGCTGTTTACAGCAGGCCAGTCAGTATCAATCTACACTCAATGCATTTCCACTAGAATGAGGAGCAGTACAAGCGTGTTCACTGTCTCTGTAACTATTCAGTATACCACTTGAAGTCTTAGCTAGAGCAATAACTCAACTGGAG